ACCATGACTAAGTATTTTTTAAATTAACATAAAATGTTATGATCCAAATTTCTGTCATGATGTGTTTTTAGAATTAGAGAAAGAATAAAGCAATTGAACACATTTAAATGGTTTCTTTCTTGATTCTAGATGGCATGAGAACTGTATGGAGATGAATGCTGTAGGATGCCCAGGGACTTTGAACCACTAATGCCTAACATGGCTGGCTGCTGCAAGAAGTGGCACAGCAGGAATCAACACGATTTCCTGCCCAACCAAGCCAGATGACCAGCAGAGACCTTCCTTTAAAGGGCACAGGTTGAGAGCTGGAAATGTGACGAGGGAATGATTCTCCCAGATAATCAAGTAGGGTAAAACATCTAATCTCTCAGTTCAGTAATAAACTCCAGAGTTCAGATCCCTTGTTGTCTGCCGTTTACACCTGATGTCTGGACATTCAGTACATACAGGCTGATAACTAGGTCCTTAGCCAAGCTGGGAGAATAACTGATGAGATCAGGATGCAGTATTTCATTTAGCACTGTTTGTCAGTCTGTCTGCTGCTCAGCTGCTGATGTTCACAGAACTTTAAAAAATGTATTTTTTTCAGCTAGGCTTCCTCCTTCCACACTCTTGCCAAACTTAGTCAAAATTATCCAGCAGATTAAAAAGTGGCTGGAGAGGACAGACAGGCAACAAAACTACATATGCCTCAGTTCCTTAGAAAACTAGTAGCAGGAATTTAATAAACTCCAACACTGTTTATTTTCACTCTGTTCTCTGTAATTGTGCAACACAGGAAAGGCAAAAAAAAAAATGCTTCATACAGACCTAACATTTATTTATGTGAAAGGTTTTGCAATTATACTTTATTGTGTCTAATTGCGTACCTGAGGCTTTTTTAAAATTTTTGTGGTATTATAGGAATGGCAATTATTTCCTCTTCCCAATGCTGGAGAGTGGGGATAAAATACACAGATAGAATTTTCATATCTAAGAGAGGTTTTGAGAATGATTAGTGCAGAGATTAAAATGCACAGACAGCCAATGTTTGAATGACTTAAACATTTGTTCCATTCACTGCCCATTCAGTTCTTTTATAAAAATTAACTGTAAAGACTGTCTTACGCAGTATCAGAGAAGATAAATCAAGGCAAGGGCTAAAACTGTAGTCACACAGATGTGAATGTCTGCTTCTGACAGGGAAAAAGAGAACTCCTCCAAATATGTTCATGACATCAGCAGTTCTAGAGTATGTGTTTTATGTCACTGTTCCTGGTGGATGGTGTGAAAGAATCTGTGGCAATTTGTCGTCACCTTACATACAGACACACCTTGCACATACAGCACACCTCAAGACTCTTATATGCTATTGTCCATCAATAAGGAATATTGGAAAGACTGGGCAATATTCAAAAAGTATAAATTAAAAGGATTGTCTGTACAAACACCAACTCTTGTTCTGAAGCATTGTCGCGAAAGTTACAGGAATCTATCAGCAAAATTTGATTAAAATGTAACCGTCTTTTGTCTCATTCAGCCACATCTCTTCTACACATCTGGTTTTATCATACATTCAAAAGAGAAAATACAATTGTTTCAAAATAAGAGATTTTAAAAAGTTAGAGTAATTAATTAATCAATATAAACCCCATAATATTTTCTTAATTTTTACTTCACAAAATTACAGTATAGCTGAGGTTGAAACAGATTTCTGTGTGTCTGTTGCCTCCATGCCTCCATGCTCAAAGTAGGAGGCAAACAGAACTGCTTTCTCAGGGTCTCATTCAGTTGGGGTTTTGTACCTTCAAGGATGGAGGCTCCACAAAATATTTGGAAGCAATAAAGACAAACCACTGTAGTCCAAGAAGATATGCTGACAGCCTCTATATTTTCTTCTATTTGCTGGCTTATAGCACCTCAGGATTTTAGAATTATAGACTATCCCGGGTTGAAAGGGACCCACAGGGATCATTCAGCCCAACTCCTGGCTCTGGTCATACCAAGAGTCACATCATCTGCCTGAGAGCATTGTCCAAAAGCTTCATGAATTCTGTCAGGGTGATGCTGTGACCTCAGGCTCCCTGAGGAGCCTTGTCCAATGCCCTACCACCCTCTGGGTGAAGAACCTTTTCCTGATACCCACCCTAAACCTCCCCTGACACAACTTCAGGTCATTCCCTTGGGTCCTGTCAGTGGTCCTGTCTCAGGGAAGATATCAATGCCACTCCCTCATCTTCCCCTAGTGAGGAAGTTGTAACTGCTATGAGGTTCTCCCCTCAATCTCCTTCAGACTGGAAAGAGCAAGTGACCTCAGCCAAGTGACCTCAGCCACTCCTTGTATGGCTTCAATATATTACTGTCCAGTGGACCCGTTTTGCTGAATGCCTTTTGTGGTCCTGTGTGCTCTCTAGCATATGATGAGAGGACATCTTTTGCCATCTCAAATTCAAGAGGCATCATCCTTCTCTTATTCCAAGAAATACCAAAAATAGTTAACCCTTAATGAGTAAAAAACATTTACAGTAACATTTGATATAAGAACTCTAGACTTAGGGAAATTCTTAAAAATAGTAATTTAGCACTGAAGCAGAGATAGTTTTCATTTATACACATCACTTTTCCCTTTTGTGTGTATCTTTTTAAGAACAAACTTCCAAAAAAGTGTAGATTTTTCAGCAGTGGTCAGCATAGACCTTACTATGTCCTAAGTCTTTTGCTGTAAACAGAAGCACATGAAGGTTTCAAGAAGTTCCCATTCTTTTCAATAGTAGAGGTCTCCACTGCACATAAAACAATTATTTAATGACAGTTTGGAAGTACTGGAAGCAATAGATAGGTTACAGTAGGCTCTGTTTAGTCACATAAATGTTAACAGGATGTGAAGCAAGATTAAGTTGGAAGTCAAATGCTCGTTCTACAATGTTCTTAGAATATTCTAAAAACCCAACAGTTTCCAAGAAAATGCAGTAATAAATTACCATGTCAGTTTTGGTCAGTTAGAAAATATATTACTGCTAATTATATTTGGGTTGGTTTTTTTATACCTTTAGGGGAGAAAGACCTCAGTGTGAAGAAAAACAAGAACTTCTCATTCAAATGTTAATATATATTCTGGACTTTAGAATAGAAACCCTGTACTCTGAACTGGAGCAAGTTTTTTTGAGCTGACACCTCCATCCTACCTCACACAATCCATTTTAATGTTTTCAATCACTTTCACTGAAAATGTTTAGAAAAGGCTTTCTTCACACTATTACTACTTGCAATTGATCTTTTCCCCAGTGTAAATCTGTCTATGCCCTGGAGTCCAAATTATACATATCTGATCTTTTTGTGTAGTACAGTCTATTGGCTATGTTCCAGGTGTTTTTCCAGCTTGAGGCTTTGAATTAGATCTCCTGTAAATTGTTGGCAAATTAAATGGCTGATAAAATAGCTAGTATTTACCATATGCTCAAAATTATTCATGCAGTGGCATGTGGTACCAGGAAACTTTTCTTTCTTCTCTTTTCTGCAAATATTTAGTTTTTGCAGATGAATTTCTAAAGCCAAAAAAACACAAACCAGTTGTACGCAGCTGTTTTTCTTGCTACTCCCATGCCAATATTTTCTAGTTACACAGAAAATATTTTTTCAATAACTTCATTGATGTTTTTCTCTCTATCACTGTTTTCTTGATGTTGTTCCCCTTAAAGATAATTTAATATGACATATTAATTTGAATTAGAAGAGAATTTTGAAAGCCTGCCCTGTAACGGACTGAACCTAATGTTGCAAATGTAGGCATAGAGCTATTAAGGGAGGTCCATGATCAATGAAAGTCATTAACTCTAATGGTGGAGCTTGGAGAATAAAGGCAAGCAAGCAAGCAAAGAAAGAAAGAGAGAAAGTGTGAGATAGAGCAAGAGAAAGGGAGACATAGGTGCCAGGAAGTAGAGGTGGGGCAGGCAATGTTGGAAACAGACAGAGAATGGAAAATGCTTCTCAGTGGCCAACCTGGAAGAGAAGAGTGCAGAGTTGCCCAGATGAATGTCCTCCTCTGTTTCACTTCTAACATGGTAACTTGATAGTTTTCATCAGGATCTGCACAAAATCATCATTAGGTTTTTCTGCTATTGGTGCTGTTATTGCTGATGGGACCAACAAAACAATAAAGTTTAAAAGAAACTGTAAAGGTTAAGATGGAAGGTCAACTTGACTCAGTATAGCACCTGAACAACTGTATTAAAACAAATTGAAATATTTTTGCCACACAATAAATTTTTCATTGCATTTCTCCTTATTGTGGTTTAATCTGGAAGGTAACTGAACAGCTGTGGGCCCACTTTCCACCACCACCTTTCCCTGTTTCCCCTCCAGCTTATTGTGCCCCAGATTCCTCACAGGTGTGGCAGTGGAAAGACCTGCAAATTCCATCAGGAATTTCCATCAACACTGCTAAGTAAAATCTAAAACATCAGTGTGTCCTCAACATTATTCTTATCCTCAATCTGTCACTCAGTACTATACCAACTAGGGCAAAAAATTAACTCTGTCCCCAATAAAACCAGGGCAATATCCACCCTTTATTCTGTATCATTTATGTCATGCCCAGGTTCCACTCTTCCCAAAGCATTCTTCCCTGTCTTTTGATACATACACAGAGATAGCTTTCCCTTAGTCTATGGGTCATCCCTCTAAAATTAGTCCATAACTTTGGGCTTCTTCTATTGTAGTAGACCTTCAGAGCTGAAGAGATGATGCATGATATTGGATAATGTCCATGATACGTCCATCCCCCATTCAAAAACCCATTTGTACATTGCACCTCTTCTTTGATGGCCCAACGTGTCAACGTGTCATAGGCCCACTGAGCTACCTATCTTCCTCTATCTATCTTCCCAGCTACCTTGTGATGGCCCAGCTTGGAGCAGTCTGCTTCCTGATCCCTCTTAAAGGCATCTGCTTTATTCCTTATTAAATGTGTCCACTTCTGTCATTGTTGAGACCGTCACGACGCACAGAAGAACACTATACAATTTCAAAAGGCTTCTCTCTTTATTATAACAGCATGCTGTCTTTTATACATTCCCAACAAAGTTTATACTTATTCATTGGTTACAATAAATCAACACATTGTTCTTTGTTACAGAGCAGTCTACACCACTGTTTCCAGCTATACTGAACTGCAGGTTTCTTTCGTTTATCTTTTTCTTCTTCTTAGTTTCCATGTCAACAACCTTGGCAGAATTCCTTTCAGGGGTAAACACAACTCTTACCAGTTTCTTCTAACTCACTCTTCCTCGCTCACAGACCAGCTGTCAGCTGCTTCCACACACTTCTTCCAGTATTTCTCCTTGCATACAATCTCAGATAATATTGGCACAGGTTGGTTTTCTGGTTCAGCCTTGGACTCTGTCACGTTGCTCTTAGTTCCAGAGACCTTCCCTCCTGCAGCAGGCACTGAGCTCTGCTGAACAGATCTCGGTCAGCCTGGACCGGGCCCCAGCACATTGCAGTGATTTGTGTCTCTCTGGAATTATTGGGTGACAGCTCATCTTGCCCAAATATTTTAATACATTTTTCCGCATTCCTCAGGTTTTTAGAGGTGAAGTCTTAAAACACTGGGAGATGTCTACTGCCCTAGGCACTTGCCCATCCTATCCCACACCCCTTGCCACTCATAACTATCCAGCCTTAGGGCAGATCTGTGGGTGATGTTCTTACTTAGTTGTGTAAACTTACACAAGAGCTGAGACATATTCATGTGTCATAGCAATCCAAAGGTGCTGGTTTGGTCACCCTGGGGATACTTTCCAAGAGGTGTTGTAAGTCACCTGGAGGAGAAAGGAAAGATGGCAGAGAGTGTCATTCCCATGGATGGACCCCTGGAGGTGTAGTTATGTGTCATTCCCGACAGGAATGCAGGTGCAGCAGCGATGCTGGGTGTACACACTGCCTCAGTCCTGCCAAGAGGCATCTTATCAAAACCCCATGTTACAAAGCTCAACAACATCAACCCTAACCCAGAGCTGAGAAATGACACAGCAGGGAACACAGCAAGTAAGGTGTTACCCAATGCAACTCTGAGAACACACAACAACATTGAGATCAAATAAGTCAACATTGTGGCCAGTAACTATTAAACCAATGCAACTAATTGCTTATAACAAATTTGTTTTAGCATGTCAAAGCAGTGGTTATCTTAACCCTTCACACCCATGGGTTGGGTGCCAAAATGGACTCTTGTGGTTTAACCCAGCAGGCAGCTAACACCATACAAAACACTTGCTCACTTCCCTGTCACCACCTCAGGATAAGTAAGAGAAATGGGGGAAACACTGTTGAGTTAAAGACAGCTTAATAGGCCAGAAACAGGAGGGGAAACAAAAATAACTATCATTAAAATTAGAGTATGCAAAACAAGTAATGCACAAAGTGGCTGGTAGCCACCTGCTAGCAGATACAGAGCCAGCTCCCAAGCCCCCAGCCAGCTTTTTCTGCAGCTAATATTACTCAGCTTTACACTATATAGTATGGAATATCCTTCCAGTCAGTCACGGTCAGCTATATCACCTCTGTCTCCTCCCAGCTACTCATGTCTCGCAGACTCTTCACTGGTAGTGTGATGTGAGAAACAGAAAAAGTCCTTGTCTTAATGCTTAACACTCCACTCATCAGTCTGCTATCAACATTATTCTCATCCTAAATCTAAATCACAACATTATCCCATATATCAGCATGAAAATTAACTTTATCCCACACAAAATTAGGACGATTGTGTACTGAAAGGACACTCTTACACCATGCCATTTAGAAACTTCCCCACGTTTTAAGACTGTTTGGGTAATAGACAAAGACTAGAGATTTCAAAGTATCACATTGCTTTGTCACTAAGTATGTGTTTCAATAAAGTTTTTCTGTTGACCCAATACATTACCAGTGTCTGGTGAGGGCTTGGAAAATGAAAAAAAATTCTCCTAAATCAAACACAGATAAATTATGTAACCTTCTTTATATAGTAAACAAACTCTAGATAAAAGCAATGGCTTCTTGATTTTAAGAAAACTTTGGCCAAAAAAAAAGTAAATGTAATTGACTTTAGGGAATTTTTTCTCATTTCAGTGAGATAAATAAAAATGTTACTCACTCCTGTAAAAATGCAAGGCTTGCTAATTAAAAAAGGGTTAGATAATATGAATAGGAAGGACTCACCAATAGGAGTGAAGGGATGCAAACAGGTAGGTAAGGCCAACTGAATGTACTGAATTTGATAACAAAAACCTACATATTACCAGGGCCTCATGGGCAAAGACATGAATCACATCCAATTTTTAGCAGCTCACTCATGTCACAAGCATGGGAATTGATGCCAAGTATGGGAATTGATGCCGTGCAGGCAAAGCCCATTTGATAGCTGGGAAAATGTTTAAGCAGTAAGTCTGTTTTGAGCTCCCTGAAACAGAGGCTACACTCCTACTTTTAATATGTCTGTATTACTATAACCCTAGTATCTGCGCGTGATTCAGCCCTATAAGAATGACAGATAACAAGAACAATATTAGTGACATAAAATATAGGAATAAAATACACAAAACTAGGGCTAAAAATTTGCATGCAGTTCTAGGCAGTTCTATGGCATCATACAGAAACAGGCATTCAAAAGTTTGCTCCTACAATTTCCGACCCTTTTGTAATTCCAGGAATAGTTAGAACCATTGGAATGTTGATATAAATGAGAGTGTGTAGAGATCTAGAAGATTAGATCCACGTCAGACTTTTGTTTTATTCAGAGGTTTGGCTTCCTGCCCTCTGTTCAGACAATAAATTGGCTGTAACAGAGCTGCTTCTAGCATTCTGTTCAGTAGAAGTATCCCAGCAGAGACAAAATAAGGTAAGCAAGAATGGCAGATTACAGCAGGATTAAATAATTTAAGATTATGTTATCAGACTCTTTCTTGAAATTTTATGAGTGATTGTTTCAGTTGACCTAAAGTTTTCTTAAGAAATCTCTTTCTTAATCTAGTTTATGTTCATTTTTGTGTACTCCTGCTAGTTTAGATCATAGATTTTGTAAAGCCTGGTTTGAAGGACACTATAACCTCATCTTTTATTAGCTAGAGGATGCCAAAAATTCTTTTTTAATCCACTTTTAAATTGGATAAACCTGGAGGAATTACTACCTCTGCTAGCAGGCCTGACAGCTACGACCCAATTCACTTGACTAAAACAGTTCTGACCCTACAAGGATCTTAGACATATGTTAGGAATTTGTCAACATGGTATGAGGTAATATTTGGAACATACCACCACATGTATGAATTCCACAGTTTTAAATGTTGTTTTTATGTACTGAATTTGATTTAATTTAATTTTATGATCACATGTATCTTGGGGTTAGATGAAAGAGAGAACAAGCAAGATCACAATGGGAGCAAGAGAGGCTATATAACAGGTTTTCTTTGCTGTCTTCATATCAATGAATTAATATAATCCATGTAGTGGTAAAAAAGAAATTTCTTCTGCTTTTAGTATGATCTTGTTTTCTTTGGCCACAAACATACTCATTAATTTCTTTAGAGTAATTAGACTGCTGCTAATTTCAGCAGTTTAAAAAACTTTAATTCCTTTATACATAGTTTGGATGCAAAATGAAACTAATCAGAACCAAGTTATGAAAATAGTGGTTGACACTTCTGCAGTGTCTTCTTAGTCCACTTCAATGTATACCTTACAGAAGAGAGAAAATGACTGAAGAAATAGGTATGAAAGACATTAGGATAAAGAAATCAACATAGGAAGATATACATGGCATAAAAGACTATGACAAAGAGTGAAAAATGTGGGTATAGGTGATGTGTGTATAAGAACATGTAATGACAGGAAAGGTTTCTTGAAATGGGAGCATTTATATGTCACACAGTCTTAAGGAATATATGGCTCTTCAAGGTGTGAAAGCTTGTTTTGTTTATTTTAGGGAGTTTTAATTGTTCTGGAGAACAACTAATTGGCTTCTGGAGAGCCAACAGAGGTGAAGTTCTACCACAGACTTTTCTATTTTCTACTTGTTTAAACAAACCAAACTAATTAAGATTTAGTACAGTCCTTCATAACATCAAGGTTACCTGTCCATAGTTCATCATAGAAACTTTCTTCAGAATTTATCCACTTCCTAAACATGTTTCTGAGAATGTCTTTGAACTGGCCTGCCATCTTCTGGAATTCTTCAGTCCTGACTTGAGGACATTCTCCTTTTTGTCTTACTGTTGCGAGTGTAAGCAATGCAGGTGCGAGACTGAAGATAGATCAAAACCAGGAACTGGGATCTTCAGAACTTCTGATTAAGAGCAGCCAAACTAGAATTACACTTGTTTTAAGTAGGAAACTTGAGTAGCTGATTGTGTGGTTTTGAGCCTCGCAGACCCAGCAAAGTCTTGAGTCTTTGCTAATGAGCCCCTAGAGACTTACATCTCTCAAGAGCCACAAGGTGGCATTACTGTCCACACACACCATAGAGCCCGATTCAGGTGGAAGTTTCCAGAGACCAATTTCCTAGTGAAAAAAACCCACATAGAATGTTTTGGTTTTTTTTTGTTTAGAATGCTCAGCGATAAAGCAGTTTCAGCAAGATGTGGGAGACCCAGCCTTTTCATTCTACCTCAGACTGGAAGTTATCATTAATTATATGAGCCCTATTCACAAGGAAGAGCAATCCCATATAACAAATGTTTCACTTTTCAGTGATCTAACTGAATGTTGTTATAACTAGAGTTGAAGAGACTGAATAAGAGCTGTAGTTATCCCTTTTAGTATGGTGACAAGAGAACTGCCAGGGCAGAAGTTTTTCATTTCATGTAAAAAATTGAATACGAAGCTTTGCATCAGGGAAGTGAGCCAAACCAGAAAACAGAACTGCCATACTCTTCCTTGGGTGAATTTACAAACCATTACACTTGTGTCAGAGCCTTAATCTTTCTAGTCTGACAGATATTTAATTATTCTGTGCAAGGCTGCATGGGGCTAAAATTGTACCCATCTTCACTTGTTTCATTCTCCAAGATACCAGACAGAATTGAAGCTTGTTGTTTTCCTTGGTCTGCACTTGCCATTAACACTTGCCATAAACAGGTGACTTCAGGAGAGCATGTAGACTTCAGAATTTCAGCTTTCCTTTCTTTAAACCAAAGTAAGGTCCTTACCTTTCCTGAAATGCAGTGATCTAAATTGCAACTTTGGGATTACCTTAGTAGCTGCCTGGGTGGTTTCACCGTCAAAGCAGTTCACATTCTTAGACATCAAGCTCTCCTTCAGGTATCTAATCTGATATTCCTTAATAATTATAACATATTCCTCAAGTTTCCAAATTCAAGTCCTCATTTCTGAGGCAAGATTTCCTGAACCTTAGTTTAAGATATTGCAATATACCTATGTACACCTCTGAGAGTCAGATCATGCTGTTTTGTCATTAGCATAATTTTCAATCACTTATTAATACTTTGACAATTATCTTATGCTGTATCCACAAAATGAATGTGATTTTTCAATTCAGTTAGCAAAATGTAGCTAGCTTCCTATGATTGACAAACAAAAACTGAAGTCACAAACACTGCTTATATGTTATCCTAGGGGAAGTCTTTCAAAACATATTTGTTCAACACAATTGTGTTATCATGTTGGCGTGCATCTTAGTGAAAGTTTAGGTAGTTAACTGATTTACCATCACTGGAAACACAGTTTTTTTGCTTTGCAAGACAAAGGCTTGGATCATGCAAGCAGTCAAACATTTTTAGAGTCTATCTACTTCTATTAACTGTCATTTACCAAAATTATATTTGAAAACTTGTTTCTCAATGGAAACACAAAGTCTTGTGACAAATTCTTACTCCTACTTTAGGACTCAAAAAGGAAGTCAAGTGAGATCATCATCATCATCATCATCAGTATTTCTTCAACGCCTTGGCAATGCTGCTCCGCTCAGGCCGTATAATGCCGTATCAAGTGCCTCTCCGTAGAAGGGGATCTGTGGGGACGACATGTCTGCGTGCAAGTATGAGAACAGCTCCTGTAAAGTCAGGTAACTCTTCCCCCAGTGACAAATATGTTTATAATCTTGAAAAGAATATTCCAATCCAAGGCAAAATCCAACAAAATTAAGCACGTGGAAGAGGTTTTCTATAATTCTGTCAAAAAGAAAAATATTTGGTGAAAAATAGACCCCCCAAAGCTACCTTTAAAATAACCAGAACAGAAATACTCCTGAAAATACTGACATTACATTTTTCATCCCACCATGTTCATACCAGTAATTCCTAATTCCTTCACTCCCTGGAGAAGAGTGAATGATAAGCAGACCTGCCAACCATTCTAGTTTGGGCACTGTACTAGTTCTTTGGGTGCTGTAGTTCTACTTATAAGTAGAATTCTTGCACTATAGCTACTTTAACTTAAATTTTTTAAATTGATTGTATTGATTATTGTAGTTGTTCCGTTACTTTTTAGAACAGAACCCATCTTTTTTTCTGGAAGCCTGATTGCCAGCTGTCTTTGAAGAGAAAATCTTTGTCCAACCACAAATCAGCTATACATATAATCAAAGGTCCAACACAGAACCTGCCACTTCTGGAGTGTGTGATTCAAGCTGTCAGGATGTGCATCATCCTTGTCTTTCTGCAGAGTTTCTGCTCAGCATAAACAGGGTGGAAAGAAAGCTTCTTGAAAAAAAATGGTTTTTTTTCAAAATATTTGCCTAAATACAGATGTTTTAGAGGAGGTATCTTATTATAAAATAAGTAAAAAAGTTTTTTGTGAAGTCAAGCATTCCTAAAACATTATGCTACTGATGATGCATTCTGTGTATCCTGTTGTTTTGTTTGGCTAATTATTCTGGCAAAGGCAGGATTTTTTGTCTCGCAGCATACCCTGGAGGTCTTTGTCATTTCAGAAATGTCGTAACTGCATTTGAAAGTATCAAATCTCTTCCAGTAAAACAGTGTTCAGCTGAACATAATCAAAATTGTGACTTACAGTGTTATTCTGGAGGTGTCTCATATCCAGGTGTCCAGACATACATTCTTCTGGCATCCAGAACAACACGGTTGCATTTAGGAATGAAAGGGAGCAATTTTCCTCCTGGCAGCTTTTAGTTAGAAAGACTTGGGTTTGTTGGTTTGTTTTTTGGTTTTTTTTTTTTTTTTAGGACAAGATACCTGATCCCCAAACTAAATGCTGCTTTTTAGCTAGCACTCTTACCTAAAAGTCCTATTTATACCCAGATCCAATATTCAAAATGCAAAACTGGGAAACAGGCAAGTTTCCTGGTCACTGACATAACCTTCTCAGCAAAGAAATATTTATTGTCCTTCTTCACACCAATACCAAGTCCTCAAAACAGCTGCCTAAGCCCATACTAGATAATTTCTAGTATGTTGGCTATACTGCTCATAGTTCAAATATACATAGACTATCAAGTAAGAATTGTTAAAAATGCCCTTGATCTTTTTCTAATGGAATGATGTAATTTCTTTGTTGATAGTAAAATGAATTATAACTCATTTTTTATTAGGGTTTAGGCTGCGAAAAACATCGAAATGCTATATACTAACTGACAATTCAAAAATAGTGCATTTTGATATAGATGAAGATGGTCATCATGAAATATCTACCAAGGATTCACAATCCCATGAAGGTAATGTTCCTTAAATACCAAAACTCACCAATTGCCTGTATAGTACTCAGGAAATTTTCAAATGTACTATTACTGTGATCCTGTTCTCTGTAGACATAACAATATATTAGATCTGTATGATCTATACTGATATGATACTGATAATATACTGATAATGATACTGATAATGATACAAGAATACTTTTATCCTGATTTGCAGTAGGTTTATTATATATTTAAATGATACGATTATATTGTTTACACTCATTTCATTAAGTGGGAAGTCTAGACATTTAGCTCAAGAGAGAGACAAAGGAAAGGTAATGCTCAAAAACAAACGCAAAATGGAGAATAGGGCACATTTTGGAATTTGTGGGGTTATTTTGTTTTTAATTGAACTCTTTTGTTTTTAATTGAACTCTTTTGTCTCAAAAGGGGCTTCAGTATTTGACAACAGAGATGTTATTGATAGCTATCATCATGCAAAGACTTGTTAGAGGATAGAAAAAAATTAAATAATATCAAATGCAATTATTGTAGAATTATGCAATTATTCTAGAATGGTACCATTTCCAGAGATATGAAAGTAGGAAAAAAACTCAATAAAACACATTTTAACCAAAATAGAGGAAAAAGTTGAAATCTTTTAGTTGGATTAATTGATTAATTAATCTTTAATTGAATTACTAAAACTTTCATTCCATTAAATTGAGAATAATGACAGCTACACTGATAGGGTACTTAAGTGTGTTTTATATATTTTTCAGTATCTTTTTCTTGATAACTCCATCAAATTTTGGAGTCACTCAGAAAATTATTATTGTTAATTTATGAACAGAACCAAAACCTGTATAGGTACACAATGGAAGCAGTTTGTGAACAGATACATGGTCTGACAAGCCTGATGTAGAAGACACTGATATTCCTAGAACACAAAAATGACACCAAGATCAAACCAAACAAAAAAGCCCAAAAACCCCAACAACAACAAAAAAGGAAATGTTGTGTAATATAATTGCACACATAAACACCAAAGACATATATTCCTGATGCAGTTGCAACAACGTAATATTAGGAACAAGTTGTATCAAGGATGTTTGTGACATTTTTACCAGAAGTGGATGATGTTTTCCTCAGCTGACTGGCTCTGTGATTCAGGCTGATGTTAGAAAAGCCAGAAACAAGCTGCCATTGTTTCTTCTTGCCTTCCACTCCCATACATTTAATATTAAGGTACTCACTTTCACTGCCAAGGGACTTCAGGCTCCTCTTTAATAGCACGCTAGGCTTTACAGCTGGTCACCAACTTCTTGCTTCTTAGGTGCATTCTCTGTTGCAAAATATAATTTAGCAATCAATACACTTTTCAAGCTCAGTGTTCAGACTTCAGTGTACCTGTTCACAAGTCTAACCATACAATCTTATAGGGTCAAGTGAATTCAGAGACCCTCAATAAAAGAAATCTGATGTCTGTTGTAGTTAGACATTTCTTCTCAGATTATGTTTCAAAACAATTTTTGAAGTGGTTTCTATTATTTTTAAATCTGAGGAATGCTTAGATCTCTAATTCCATGTATTTGTTAAATACCTTCTATTTTAGATATTGCGTGGTTAAGCGTGTTCACAAGGAATGAAGCACCAGGTAATGAAAAACATCTTGTGGGGAAAAAAAGGTATCATCTCTGTTAGGGTCTGGTTCAGAAAATATATTAGAGCATAGGAAAAGAAGGTAGTAGTGTTTTACACATACACTTGCCATTAGAACTAATATGTTGTATCAGATTTTTCACTTAGCTCAGGTTACTGGACAGGTCTAAAAATAAAAGAGCCTTTCTGTGTTCCATAAGTAGAAATCTTCAAAGCTAAAAAATTTGTAAATTAGGAGTAGTGACTTGGACTGAAAGCAAATGTATGTAAGGGAATATCTTGTATACAAACTGGAACATACAATTTCTTTCTGTAGACAAGTGTAGGTGTTCCACTGCTGGCATATGAGTCTTAAAGTGAAGACCTGTTTTAGCAGGAGAGGAAAACCGAAGAGAAATTAATATGAAGAAGGAGGAGGCTTTGGGAACTTTCATATTATACACTTACGAAATTATTGAGAAAATCAAAGATATATTAGTTCAGGTATTACAGTGGAAGAAAAATGCACTCTAATTCCAATAATCAAGGGTTCCTGTAACAATAAGAACAAATCTGGTCCAGTACCAGATGTACCTTGAAGAAGGGACAAATGAAGATTTCTAAGGAACAGTATAAAAATACTGATATCCTCCCAAATACCAAAGCTTTACGTTTTAGGGATATCCCTAAGCAAGACTTTTTTTATTTATTTAATTTCAAGGCATTTTCTTTGCATGGATTTTAAAATTGCCCCTTAGACTCTGGTAAGGTTTTAGTGACCAGAGAGACAAGGTAATTAATTCAAAATCCATCAGAGTGGAAGTATCATTGATATACAATCACAAAAAGGTTCCTTACTTTCCTTGCCATTCTCTGGCTGCTTGATAGACCAGTTGTCACATCTTTTATAAGTGATAAAGTTGGGCTCCTTTGGACTTACTCAGACTAAACAATGTATAAGCAAGTCACAATAAACTCCAGATGGAGCAAGACAAGGATAGTTGAAATATAAGTTATGTTGATGGGTGTCCCTGGTGAACTGCATGGACTCCTGCATACCTCCTTTGTTGTCACTCTTGCCTTCAATAGAGAACACTCTTGACTTCGATAAGAAACCTCTCTTGCCTGTTGATATGTCTCTTAAATGCTTCAACTAAAACTGGACCACTGCCCCTGAGGCAATCTAAGGTGATATCACAAAAAGTAATACAAAATAACTGAATTGTAGACCTTCTATAGTAGCCTACTATATTTATCTGAATACTCATTTAAACTGAATAAGGCATAGTCAGTTTGAGTTTTCTTAATTTTTAACAAGGAATTTTTATGCTATTTTCATGCTAAAGTGGTCTCAGAAAAATTCCTTCAGAAGAATAATATAAAAGCATTACACTTAAGGAAAGTTAAGGCAACTAAAACCAGGTACCAGAGAAGCTAAAATTAGTCAAGTGAGATGAATACATTCTGCTAATTCTGTGTATCCTTCAAAAGCTAAAATTGCCTTTGGTAATACATAAAAAACCTCCAAACTCCTTAACTGTAAGTGGTAATGCATAATAATCTAACATTTTAAAATTTGTATTCAGCTGCTGCAGTTAAACATATAGATCAACTGCCACTTTCTTTCATATTTTCTGCCTTAAATGGAACTTGTCATACTTCTAAAAGCACAAGTGGTGTTTTTTGAAGTAAGTTTGCAAGCCAGTCAGATAAGTATAACATCACTCGGCAGTCATTGTAATATGTAATTACAATGTATGTAATACATATGTATTGGCTTTTGCTAGGTAATGCTCTTGTGTGCTGTTAGGGTTGGCAAAGGTTACCTTAATTTATTTAATTTTTGCTGATGTCTTGAAGTACCAGAAGGTAACAATGAACATTGTCACTTTAGCAGGCTGAAGAATCTCCCATATTATTGATATCACCTTACTTCCTGCAGGTGAAAAAACAGTTTTAGCTCAAAAATTGAATTTATCCAATGCACCCACAACTACAATAGTAAAAGGATTATTATCTAGAAACATGCAAAAAGTAGAGGGGAAAAAAATCCTACATTTTTCATATCGACATATACATAGCCAGGTGTATAGAGTAAACGTGTTTACTACGCATATGAGTTATCTACCACTACATTTGCCTTCATAGTTCATATGACATGTAGTAATGTACAACTGATATTTCATACATTGACCATAAAAGTAGAGAAATTAACTATATATATGGCAAATTTAAAGTCTCACAAAGTCACAGGCTTTAAATACTTTAGACAAGAGAATGGTATCAAGAGTAATTATATTTATTCCTATTCCCATGCCTATAAAGTATGTTTTCTCTTCGTAGGGCATATTTAGCTCTTCTTTATTTTATAAAGTGATACTCATATTATTACAATATTCTCTTCTGTGTAAAGCAGATTCTAAAATTTTGGTGAGCCTCACACAGAGATCAAAGCATAATGAATTTGTCTTTTTGTGCAAGAGTAAGAAAAATCTCTCTCTGAAGGTAAGAAGTTGTTTATTTTCTTTATAACATGTGGATGCCCTCTCTTACTGTAAGACAATTTCCCCCACAGAACTTTTCAAATTCATTTTTCTTACCACCTTCCACATTTCATAACTTCTGAGTATGTCCCCTTATTCTTTTTTGTGAAATACTCAGAGAAGATTATTGCAAAAGTTTTTGGGTTGAATAGTTGATTACTGCCACTAGAAGATAGTCAGGGATGTTGAGTTCCAGTCTCTGTGGAGGAAGAGGGAGCTTCTTAGCCAGAAAACATGCAGGAAAATAAGAGGAGAGTAAAAAAGCAGAAATCTTGCCTTGGAAAGAGGTGAGTTTAAGATGGAAATTGTTTTCTTCCAATGAATGCACATCACAGAACAAGGAATGTGATGAAGAAAACACAGCTGAACATCCGGTTTCAAACATTTGCCATCTGGCGTCTAAGCATTCCCATTTTCTCCAATCTTTTGAAGGTTTGCTTCTGATAGGAAGGGAAGGCAAGGCTGGTCTTCCCCGGAGAGGGATTAAAACCAGCGCTGAAATCTGTCTGAGGAAGAATATTTTGTTGCAATTTACCATCTACAGCAGAGCAAAGGTCCAAGAAGCTCTGTTTATACAGAGATGTTGAGATAAAGAATAACCCTCTGTTAATGTCAGCCATGCACGATGGTGGAAATCACCAAATGCTTTCTCAAAAAGTCATGGATTTTTTTATTTGTTTTTAACTCACAAATGACTATTCATAAAATCTATTTCCTGAATTTTTCTAGGGAAATGTATATAGTAAGACACATAAATCATATTTTACCTATTACTCACAGAAAGGGATTTTCCTTTCTGTCCCTGAAACAGCAACTATTTTTAAAGGATTTTTCTGGTTCAGAGATTGCCTTCTCATAAATCAATTTTTTGAAGGGTGTTCTACCAAATCAAGACAAGAACTGAGTGTTGAGCCTTAATGGATTTATCATAGCACGGGTCCCCCATGGGGTGATAATTAACATTGACTCCATGATTTCAGAAGGCTGATCAATTGCTATATCATATCATATCATATCATATCATATCATATCATATCATATCATATCATATCATATCATACCATACCATACTTCTAAGGAACTCATTGCCCTTGCAGACAGTCCGACACAGCTTGGACCAGATTGGACAATTGATTCCAAGCATCATCACCAGTGTCCAATTAAGAAATCACCCTTCGGTAAACAAATCTCCATAACACATTCTACATGTGCACAACAACAGGCGCAGCAAGTGGTTTATCATTCTTTTCTCTGATCTTCTCACAGCCTTCCCCAGGACAGTGCCTGGGAAAGTTGTGCCTGCTGCTCTCTGTGGCCAGAGAGCTGCAGCCACAGGATTTTCCTTTCCAATGAACTATTTTAAAATTCCAGGTCATACCAGATTATGTTTCTTGACACAATAGAAAGCAGTTATCTGAAGATGAAGACATACTTAGCATCTACCAAATATGTAAAACCTTGGAAAGATCACAAACCTTTCTTTTTCCAGCACAATACAGATAATTTCCTTAGTCTCAACAGGGATTCTGGTATGGAACAGGACAAGGCTTCTTATCTGGAAAAAATTTTGGTATCCTGGTACAATATGGTTCAATCAGGGTTGCATTTCTAAATAGGACCTGAACATTACATAGTTTGAAGGACTGTCTTGAGTATTTGAATTCAACCCAATTCATTTTGCTGTGCAAATTGTGAAACAGGAATATATTAGTGAATTTTTTTCAATAATTTGTCAATTTTTTAATCTGGGATTATTTGAATGTAATAATTAATGAACTTTTTAAAAAATATATAATTTTTTTTAGAACTAATGCCACATTTGATGGGTTTGAAAAGCAAAATATGATGAAAAAATTACCAAATTAAATTTAAAAATTAATAAATCTGTTTGTTGTAAACACAGGTCTTAAAAGCATCCTGTTCAGAGCCAGATTGTCCTTCATTTAAGGGATGTGGTACGAACACTTGCAGCCATGAAAATCCTGACTTTAAACAGGTATACAATCATGATCAAACAAATATAACCTGTGTGTGAGACTGTATATGCAAATACAGGTGTGAAAAAAGGACATCTGAATTCACCCTGTTACTCATTAGGTGACAAATTGCTTACTTTTCTTTGAGCTGATTTTTTTTCTCAGAAAAGGAAAAATACAATAATGACTACATCCTTCAATCTCCAGCCAAAATATCTGACTTTGAATTAAAACATGAGAGGTGAATATGTTTCCTGTATTATTATGCTTATACAAAATAAAGGGAGACACAAAGTAGATTTTATCTGGTACAAATTCTTCAGCAAGATACAGAAAATCTGGGTGAGTATATTAGCAGAAGGTATCTAGAAGGATCAGATTACAAAAGTTATGATGTTTAAAGAACTAATGAATCCATCAGTCATAAATTTCTGGGAAGTAATAAAACCCTGTCATTTTCAGGGTTTTTCCAGATAAATAAGAAATTCATCTGATGGATTTCATGTAATCAGATGATTATAAATCGGGAGTAATGGATTATGGACAGAAATACAGATAAATGGGTGGTTTCTTCACATGTTTTTGTGACAAAAGCTTGGTTTTGTTGACTCTTCTGTATATAGAAATGATACAACATAGTAGACACATGAAGGAAATTAATTGCTCTTTGGGATACCTAAACTTTAGTAGATGTTATAACCTAGACAAAATGCAAAACTAAGGAAACGTAACTAATAATATTTTTAATTAGGATTGTAGCCCTGTGGCTTTATCAGTCAACTGAAAAGCCAGTCTTTCCAATTTCACTAGGCAAAATTAGAACTATCTGGACCCAAGTAGTTTCAGAACTTCATAAGATGTTCTGTGAAACCCTGAAAACCTGAAATTCCCAGCCTAAAATTTCTAAAATGCTGACTTTTCTCCTAAATCAGGAAGCATTGAATTTCCAATTCCGGTAAATTGACATCTCTCTGAAATGATTTCCAACAGGTATGAGCTACACTACTGATAATTAATGAACAAATCTGCTACATTCTGAGCCTGGAAAATCTAAGCGGGTCCTTCAGTTCACGTTCTGTTGAGTTACTCTTCTGCCACTAATATTCTTTGGCTCCCCACAGAAGGAGAAAGCAGCAAAGCTTAGGAAATTTTTAATGCAACTTTTAGTCTCCCCCTTGTATGTTATAAACGATCACAGTCATATTGACTTTTGCAAATTATTTTTAATACACTTTTTTATTTCATACAATTTTTAAACTGGAGCTGTTCACAGAGGTTTAGTGTCCTTAGGGCAGCAAGTTTTGGGAGACATCTGGAAAGAGCTGCAACAATTACCTGTAGAGATCTATATATCACTTAGGGTTTTTAAACATAGTTAAAATGAAAAATTCTTTCTGGGAACCCATTCATTACGTAGTAAGACAGATAGTGGTCTGCTCATCGTGGTTTCTTACTGATACCCTGAAATAGAAGAAAAACAGTCACTCATTTGTATGAGGAGAAATCAGAAGCCTGCACTTGAACCACATCCAGCTGGGTAAAGAGGCCAAATCATAGGCAACTCTGAATCATGAGATTCCTCATAAATGTTCTAAAATGAATGTACTGATCAGTACATTCCTGGTGTAATGAATAATGCCTGCATTGTCCTTAGGATCGTACTGCACTGAGATGGAGAAATACTTCTCGTGGATAATGACAAAGCTATTCAGGGCTGCAATGTGATATTTAATCTGCTAGCTTTGAATAGCTAATCTTAAAGACAGGCATTTTCTTTTTTTCTGTTTGAAGACTGGCAGTAGAATTAGCAGAAATGTGAGAATCTGCGGACCCTATCATTATAACAGGAAGAGTTGTATAGAGTATTGTAAACTTTCATTTCAGTAACCAAGGCAACTGAAACATTGAGACATGGTTCACAATCAATATTAAATGAATCTTCTTTTATTAAATTAATTTTAATATATTGATTAGATTGTAATGACAATAAAATAATTATTTAAAATTACAGCAAGTAATAGTTTAATAACATCTGATTGGGGATTAAGTCAGAAAGGCAACACCAATTTTTATTGCAATGCTCTTTTGGTTCAAGTGGAAAACCGCACTGTAGGCACAGCTATGGCCTTACACAGTTCACACAGTGGCAGCATCCCAGACAGAGCAGTAGTGGAGAAGCCAACAGTTCACTCAGGACATTTGCTTATGACTGTGATTATTCTAACTCTATAATAGACCATGCTTAGCATAATTAATAATATCATAGAAAAAAATGCAATTAACTACACAACAGAATGATCTCAGAGCTACAGAACAGTATTTCACTTTAGATTCTCCACTTAAAAGGTTTTAGCAGTTCCCCCACCCATTGCTCATAATTCTCCCAGTAGATAAGACAGCCCCCATTTTATCATTTGCACTAATTATTGTGTGAATTTTTTACTATTTCTCTTTTTTTACTCTTCCAGAAGTGCAGAAATTAGTGAGCATACAATGGTTATCAGAGAAGTACACATCTTCAGTACATATACACTACTACATCTGTAGTATCTCACTTTATTGTAACTTCTGTTCTGGTTCAACCATAATATTTAATGTATTCTTGACCCATTGCTACACTCAGACCTTTGATGATGTATTCATCACCCTCTCATCTTTTCTGAAGTACTAGTAGCATCCAATTTTCCCTCTGTTTCAGATCTTCATTAATTAACACATATGCGTAAAAGAATACTAAAGGATAGTATTCAGCAATTTCAATTGCTGGGTCAGGCTGTTTTTCTTACAAGTGATTGTTCCCTGCTGGATAATGCAAGGTTATTAGATCATTGTGTCTGGACAGCATTTGCCAAAGTTTTGACAGGAATATTCCAGCCTGGGTGGACTGGGACCTGAAGTACTGCAGCTGTGAAAGTTCTGTTAAGAGCTGTAAAAGTTTTTATTCCACAAGCCTCTCTATTTTACTGAGTAGTTTGATGAAGACAAGAAGGAAGGAGACTATACCAGAGGCTGTGGAGTCATGAAAGACTTTAGTAAGAAACTTATTCTTTACTCCAGTAGGCCAAAATAAACTCCAAACATGTAAAATCTGGTGAGGCCCCCTAAGATACCTTGATCCTGAAGTTTTTACCTTGTAAGTACCGACAATGCCATGTTTACTGTGCTTGGCAGCAAGCTGACAGACACAGGCCTTTTTGGCACCCAGCATGCAGCCTGAGGTTTTTGGGGGTTTTTGCTCCAAAAGTTGATTCATTTATTGAAAAGCCAGGGAGTGATCTGCAAGCCTCACTCACTCTTCAGTGGTCACATATGGCCAGCGCAGAGTCTAATGGATTTTGAAGGTGGACTGTTCTGGGCTGAACATTCCTGTCATTCAGGGCTGCTGTATCAGAGATCCTGCACCTTCAGTATGAATCGAATCCAAGGTGACAGAGTGAATGCCGCAGCTGATATTGCCAAAACATTTTTATTGATCACCTTGGCAGCAATATACAGGCCAAAATTTGCTTTCAAATGTGTGTTGGAGGGATGTCCAACACACCTGGAGCTGACTGACCCAGGGCTGGAAGCACAGCCCAATTTGTCAGGAAGGACCAGCTGCGGTAAAAAAATAGACTGAGGTGTGTTGCTCCAGCTAGCATCCAAGCCCCTGCACCAGATATTCATTCAGACCCACTCTCCTGCCAGGGGAGAGAATATGCAAGAAATGACACCTCACTTCTTAACATTTAAAAATGTTTGTTGAACCACAACAAGGGACTGAATAAGGAAAAAGGGGCAGTGCTGGGTGCTTAGCTGCTTAACTTTCAATATTAGAAAACTTACATAAAGAGACACCAGATCTTAACAGAACTTCTTCTAACCTTATAACATACATTTAACATTTGCAAGAGCCAACACCACACTATCAGTTTATTAGAGAATAGCAAGAGCAAAAGTAAGGGAATTTTTGAATTAAGACAAAAACTCAAAAGTAAAATATATGAAGGTCAGAAAAAACCACAAGTGATGCAAAAGCACTTACTCACCTCCTCCCCTGACCAATGCTCAGCCAGTCTCTGAGTAGTAGTCTTCTCAGAAGCAAACACCCACAGAAGCAAACACCCCACCCACCTCCTCCCAACCCCACATTTTCCATCCTTTACATCCTTTATGACTAGCCATGACATCACATGACATAGAGTATCCCTCTGGCCACTCTGACACAGCTGTCCTCCTAGATGTGTTCTGTCTCATCCTCTTGCCCATCCCAGCTTACGCACTGAGGCTGAGTGGAAACAAAGAGAAGCTCTTGATGTTGTGCATGCACTGCTCAACAGCCAAAATTTCCAGTGGTGTGTCATCAATCCTGTTTTAGCCACAAACCACATAACTAATCTGTAACACCTTCCAATGTCCATAACTTCTGTGATACAATTGAGGTGGCAGCTCAGTTTTACTAGTTTGCTTGTCATCATTGAATGACTCTTGTCTCTTTGATCACACGCTCTTTCATTCCTTTGATTCTCTTTGATCTGAGGCAAAATGTAGATTGCAGTGTGCCCCACACTCTGTGTAACACATCGTAACACGACAAAATGTTCTGTTTCAGCTGGCCTTCAATTCCATTCCTTTTTATCTTCTAGTTTCTTCCTAGGTTACAGTGCAGGATCTGAACCTAGCTTGGAGTAATGCTCATTGTGCCATATTTGATCTGACTTTCTATAATTTTGAGTCTATTCATTTTAAAACTTGTATACGACTCTCTCACATCTTTTTCTGTAGTTCCCATCACTGACATGTTTTTCTTTAGCCTGTGAAGACAATATTTGTGGCATTTTTCTAACATGAGCATATGTGTTCTATTTCAAGTGCATTGTGAACCACTTGAAGGACATGAATAAAGGTGAATTTTTTGTCATTAAATGTGAAACCTAAGCTGTAAATTTGTTCTTCATTTAATGCAACGAAAAGCAAAATATCAGATTGTAACTAAAAATCAGCAGCTTTTTTCTTGGAACTTGCAAATTGTCTTGAGTCCTACTGTAGAAACTGTCCTTGGGAGGAACATTATCTGGCAGTAGTCCACCACATTCTCCAGGTTTTCTCATCATCCTCGTTTACAGGTCATAATAGAAAATCACCTCTGCCATAATTTCTTGCAAAACATTTTGCTCTTTCCAATGACCTGCTGCACATCCCAGCCCTGATGGTGCTTCATTATGCTTCTATTTTGAGTTCTTCTTCCTTCTCCCACCCAAATAGTGTCATTCTCCAAATCATTTTCCTCTTACAGTTTTCCATCTAATTTTCCATCATTTCATGCAGGTACAGTAGGTATTTTTAAATCTCTGAATCTCAATTTGCCTTTGTAAGCATATAAATTTTGCTTTACAAAACGCCTTTGGAATCTCCCTTGCTCTAGCATGAATTTCTGTGTTGTACATATGAATCTCTTTCCTTGCTTCTACTGGTTTTCTTTCACCAAACATTCTTATTCCTTTTATGTTTATTTTTTACCATTCCAAGTCCCTAGTAGGTATTTGTTTCTCAAAGACAAATTTTCTTCTACTTCCTTAATAGTATTTTTTAAAACTTTAATATTTTTTGATTGAAGCTGCAGACACTGTTGTTACATTTAATTGATCAGGACAGAGCTGCTTCCCATCATAGCTTTGCTGATAACAGAAGGTGTATTCCCCAAGTTTCTCTGAGGTACTCCTCAATAACTGCAAGACAATTTCTTTCCATCTCCTGTTGTCATACGGGCTAAAAGGACACATTGCTCCTTCTGTCAAAAGGTGGTTATTGCCAACACTGTAATCTCCAGCAAGCTGATTCCCTTAAATGCGCTCCTGCTTTCCCTCAAGGATTCTGTTTCCTTTTAGAGGTCCCCTTAAGCAATGATAGCACACCAGACTAGTCAGAGTTATAGAACTGGGCAGAACATGGGCAGACTTATAGAAGATAGGCAGAGCAAGAGTGTTGAAAGTTAAAATAATTTGATTTTGATATGTTCAGTCTTTCCCGAAGGATATTCTAAATTCCCTGCTGTCTGGCAGGAAGCTGAGCTGGAGGAAACACAAATCTCAGCCTTCTGTTAATTAATGTCCCACTATTAGCACCAAGTAACTACTCACACAGTATTTATTCACAGTTACTCCTTCTCTCAGTGCACAGAGGCAGGAGCAGGGGCTCACACCCCAGCCCAGCAGGTTCCAGGCAGCTGTGCACAGTCACACCCAAGGCTGATGGTCCCAGCAGCTGTGCTCACACACACTGCCCTGGAATCTCAGTCCAGCTACAGCCGCCGCTTGGATGTGATGTGGATTACACGACCTGTGGTAGCGCTGGAGGAGTGCTGGAGACCACGGGCAGGTTCAGCAGCCCTTTGGAGCCCCAAGCTTAGCAGGTTCTGCAGATTTCAGCACACACTCTTCCTCTCTCCGGCGAGATGTTTTTTTGCAACTATTTTTCCATCCCCACCCTGAGATGCCCAGTCAGCACAAACACGTACACCCACCCACCCTCACACACACACACACACACACACACACACACACACACACTCTCTCACACACACAGAGTAGCTCTTTGAACAACAGCTATTGGTCCAGAGATGGATCTTTTTAAAAAGTGCATTGGAAACTGGAGATATACAGAAAAGCCACAGCTAATAGAGTGTAAGTTAAGAGTAGTTTCTACTGTAACATTCTAATTTTACTTCAAAAGAGACAAGCAAAACTGTGGATTGACATTTTACTGCTAGTGGCAATTGATAGGGTAGGCCTAAGGTGAGAAAATAACCAAATTAAAAACTTAAGTTATCATAAATACACTGAGTAAACTGTGCTGGTGTTTTTATGAAGCAAAGGAATGCATCTATTAGTCAGTATTACTCAGTCTTTTGAGGGACATGGGTATTACTTTTATTCATAGTTATCACAGAATCTATCCCAAAATTATTAGTTGTTGCCTAAGGTTTATTTAAAAATTGGTAAATATGAGTCACTGGAGAAAAGTATAACAAGCATAAAATATAACAAACTAACAGCATTCATGAATTTTTGTCACGTTTGACATTATAGAATGGCATTAGAAATACAATGTGGTTTTTACTTTGTGTATTTTCATAGCTGAGTGAAGAGAATAACCTTTTCATCATGCATAACCAAGGAACTTCAGTGCAGTTCCAGTGCTATGAAGACAGAAGTTACTATCTGTGTGTGAATGATGACTCACTTGATATTCGCAAGCTGGAAAACAAAGAGCCCAATGAGGAAAAAAATTTTTACTTCAGGGTGTCATATTTAGAGGAAAAGTAACTTGTCTACTTTTCAGATGCCCATACATCTCCTAAGAAGATGAGGAAGTTTGAGACCAGCTAATTTCTGTTTGGGCTAAATTTTTACATTTTCATAATTTCTAAGCCACCAACATCCTTTATTTCTGGACATTCAATAGCAAAAGAGGAAGGTCAAGTCTGAAAAACATACTAACTGATCAGTCTCTGTGTCCTACCTTCCAATTGTGTTTTTTAAGGAAACAAAATATTCTGGTGTGGGAAAATATACTGGGGATATTTCAAAGATGGCAACAATAAGGAACATATATGAAAATGATCATAAAATATGCCATTAGTTTTCCACGCGATAAGCATTTTACTTTTTATAAACTGTCTTTTATAAGCTCACCTGTGTGTGAAAAGAAAACTTTCAGAAGACTTTCAGAACTTGTTAAATGCATATGTACACATCCTGACTGACTGACTTGGAGAAAGAGTCAGAAAAGGTGTCTTGACTCTTTCTGAGAGTAAGGGAAGATGCTGGAAGCTAGATGTCTCTGCACCTGTAGCTCCAAGCCAGCCCATGTAGTACACTATGCAATTTCAGCATCTCTCCAGCATGGCAGCTCTCTAAGAAAATGTACCCAGACCATCAGATGCACAATGTGCAGGCAGAGAGAGGGAGGCACATTGAACTGATGGGCTATAAGAGATGCCTGCAAACACAGCAGAAAATTGCTCTGACATATTGGCTTCCACTTCTAAGTCATAGAGCGAAATACAATCACATGTTCAATTGCAAAGCAGAGTGCAGAACAGCACCAGAAAAACAATAATGTTCAAAATTACTGAATAAAATAAACACTAAGTGTTCATGTGGGCTACACTGGAGGAGCCATAAGAGTACTTACCTTTGAGCTACAGGGTCGGTCAATGTCAAATGGAAGATGTTGACACTTAAATGTCTATAGACCATGCCCTGCAAACCATACATGAAAATACATGAGAAAACAACCTGAAAATTATCAGGATCACAAAGGCTTAAACATCTGGTTCTTCATTGCTGTACATGGACTTCCACTCTGATTTAGTGACAATTTTCTGTGATGCAAGTAATTTGAGACTCTATGTGTATAAGTGATAGGCACGATGCACCTACACCAAGGGACTGCTGCTTAGTTGCAGCAAAACAGCCTACAATATAACACACTTGCAGGAATAATCCTGTGTAGGTATAATAAACAATGCACACCTGAAATAAGAATCCTAACATCAGTCAGTCAATCACACCAATGCACATTGCAATAATGCAATTTTCTATTGTAAACTAAGCTCCAAAGGTCTGTGAGACCTTAAAAGATTTCACAGCTTGCTTGTTGTATTCTTCAAATAGCAAAAATCTTTATGTTAGTTATAATGCTTATTGAAGAGAGCTTTTAAATATTTTCTAAATAATACTTAAAAGCTCTGGACCTGCCAAGAGTTCAATAAACTGCCAAGAGTTAGTGTGAAGAAAAACCCCAAAACTCTAGATATTAATTTCAGCATTTATTACACTAGAATCAAGGTAACCTAAACTGCTTAAGATGTTACATAAGAAATAGATTCAGTCGTAGTAAGTACATTAATTTCACTATCTGATACACTAACACTTCATAGTCATACATTTATTGTTGGTAGTGTAGTCACCTCGCTAAATTACAGAATGTGCTAGATGGGAAGTTGATGAAAAGATGACAAGTCACCATACAGCTTGTCCAAAGCATATTAATGAAATCAGCATTGCTGATATCACCACAAAAGTAACATTTACCTCAGTTAAATTTGAATCTGTTTTATAGTTAAAATTTAAATTATGGTTATATGCAGAACTTTGTACTTTTATCATGTGCCATCTTTTTAGCAATTCAAGGGAAAATAAGCCCTTATGGAATACAGCAGTCACAATTTTGGATTTGATATATAAGATAGTAATATCATTTGACTTATTTTCTCATAAAACACAATAAAATCAGACAACTTCATAATTCTTAATGTACATAGCAAAGCAAGTTTAAAAATTCTCTATCCTAATCTTTGCTGGAGTCTTATTTTGATCATAAAATCCCTTCAAACTGACATTTTCCAGTTCTCACTAATCTAAGTGTCTTGTGAGTGGCAGAAAAGTTTTTAATATGTGAGGTGGAAATAATTTAGAAATGTTATTTTAAAACAGAAAATCGAAGAAGCCATTTCAGAATGGCTTTCATTTTTAGCCTTCCAGAAAAATATAGTTTCAAACACTTTACAATAAAATCCAATGTGTCTAAGATTCAAATATGAAATATAATTAGTATTTTACTGCTTAAAACAACAGTTATATTCTTTAACTTTCATTTAACAGATGTGATAATTATTAAAATAATATATATATGTCTCTCTTGTATTTCTGCCCTTCCAAAGCTGTGCCTTAAATAAAGTACTGCATTTGTTCGCTTAGACCAATGTAATGCAAGTATTCTTCATATATTACTTGCAGTATTTTGACCATATTTTTTACTTCCTGCAATAAAACCTGTGAGAAGAACTACAATAACTGTAAAGCAAGTGATCTTTCTCTGTGTTGTACACTTCCTTCATTATAGGGAACCAAAGGAGCTAGAAATTGGAGTTAGAAGTTGTCATTTTTCTTGCCTCTATTTGGCATTTTTTCAAGGCTGTGTCTGCATGTGATGGTGTGTCCCCACTTCCCCTATTTCTGCTCGAGCAATGGCCATCAGTGATGTTTGTGGTTCAGGGCCATAACCCTTGCTCAGCAGCCAAGGGCCATAATCCTTGACAGTAGACACTGAATGTCTCTACAGTCTAAACAAATTATTACAATCTCACATAGGTGCAATTACAAAACTGCTAAAACTTGTAAGCAATCCAAATGATGCAGTTTCAGTTAAGGATCTTCAGTAACACAACATCTTGGTAGAAGGACTCGTTTATGCCTCTTCCCTGGTGTTAAATGCTCACTGTGCACTCACAGTCTGATGTCAAGGGTTCTTTTTTCTCAGATAGGATGATGTGACAGGGTGACATCCCAGTAAATACAATGCACGTGTGTCTTCTAATTCCCAGCTGATTCAAACAGAAGAATACTCTCCCTTGAGTGTTGCTACTTTTACATGTACATGGTATGAATTTTGAAGATGCATATAAACAGACATTATTTTAGTGTCACTTTGGTTTTGATTCTGCTTGTCCATAATTTCTCTAACCAAAGAAATCTGTTTGTGTGCTTTAAGTGTGACTCTCCATATTCCCTGTTTATACAAAGAGACTGCAGAAAAGAAGATTCTCTACCAGCCCCTCCCTTCATTGCCTCTGGTCTGATTGGTGCCCAGAAACAAGACCCCCCCCGTGGCTGCTACTGCGCAACTTCTTGAAGTCGTCCATCTCTAGCACCATCTTGTGGTCTCTTGTAAACTGCTATCCACATTTCATCACATCATCAAGCTATAAACAGTTCTCATTCGGCTGAAAACAAAAAATATATTTCTTTTTCCAAACCTCGATATTAATTTCCAGATTGCATGGAGCCTAGATCTCCTGGATCTAGCCTAGTCAAAAATGACTAAAAGGCACAGACTAACAGGTCAAGGAAAAAACTTTTCCCTCTATTTGGCATTTTCAAGGCTATGTCTGCATGTGATCGTGTGTCCCCCCCCCATTTCTGCTCCAGCATTGGCCACCAGTGATGTTTGTGGTGTGTCTGCTGACAGATACAATAGTTCAGGGCCATAACTCTTGCTCAGCAGCCAAGGGCCATAACTCTTGTTCAACAAGGCAAGGGCTAGTTGAACGCCTGCCAAATGCAGCTGGTGCAAGTCAGCCATCCTCCCCCACAAACAAAGCACAGCCCAGGGCCCATGGATCTCTCCCACGGGACAGCAGGCTGCAGGCAGGATCTCCCCTTGAGCAGGGACACCTCTGAAGGCTGCTCCTCAAGGCTGAGAGATTCCTTGTTGTAACAGATCCTTGGTAAGCGATCAATAGCATCCTAAACTTTGAAATCCTGCCCAAGATATAAGGGATTGATTGTGCCCATGTCGTCATTCGGACATGGACTAAGTCTGGGACTAAGTCTGGATGCAGCAGCATGTGAGCTCCCCTCATGAAAGAGGTTTAGAAAACAACAGGGTCCTTTCTGAACCTCTGAGTCAACAGCTGGGTCTCTGAGAGTTCTGCCTGACCCTGTCCTTTATGCAGTAAACACTCAAGAGCTCCTTGCCACAACTTCTGATTTAATAACTCTCACATTTACTATGAAACTTTGGTAAATCACTGGTTTAGACCCAAAAACACATTGCTACATCTCTGTTACAAGTGCAGCACATCAATCCATCCATGACACAGCAGTTCTGTGCTCAGTTTTGGGCTTTCCAGCACCTAGTGGAGCAAGGCTGAGCAGAGGCAAGAGAAAGTGAGGAGGATGGAGCACCTGAGGAGGAAGAGCTCGGACAGCAGTTTTTGTTTACACTGGAGGTTAGAAGGAAACTCTTCACCTACCTGCAGGGGGATTGCAGAGAAGATGGAACCAAACTTTTCTTAGAGGTGCACATCAGAAGAACAATAGGCAGAAGTAACAAGTTATGAATTTTCACTGCCTGTAAAGAAAAAGAAAAACACAGAAGATACAGGAATAGGAGCAGAATACAAAGTATTAATCCTCTAAATTTTTCTAGATTCAGTAGAACCTGGCTCTGTGCAACCTCACCTTATGCTGAAGGTCTTCTTTGAACAGATGCTTTGACAAAATGACCTCCAGCAGCTCTTTCCAACATAAAGTATCTTGTGATCCTATGATTCAAAGGGAGCTTCTGTGTCTTGGAACTCACAGAGCACTTAATCCAAAGAGGGAAATGATGCAATAGAACTTACATGAACACACAGATGAACAATATAAAAGAAAAAATAAATCCTGTTGATTTAACCTCAAGGCACAATGTTTTCAGGATTACATATAGGCTTGATGCCAAGAGAAAACACATTCAGAGTCAGAAGAAATGTAATCAGAAGTGAAAGATTGTCTCTTGATCTCCAGAAAACTCAAATCAAAACACACAGGCCATTTCAAAGCAGAAAATTGTATACGGAGAGTAGGAGGTCATTTGGAAGATTACAATATGATTAACAGTAATATTTAAAAGATAGTGTCATTTTACCTGATTGTTTCTGACCTAGTTCTTGCAATAATCATCTTCCCAATATTTGAATTATCTCAGTAAGAGCATTTCACTAGAGTGAACTCAAGTCTGTTGCGTAAGGATCTACTCCATTCTCCACTGCAACAGTGAAAATAATGAATAAACTATGATTTTGTTAAAGAAATCAGAATATACACTAGGCATTGTAAATATAGATAAGACAGACCTAGCTGTAAGTGTTGCCTAAATTTCACAAGCTGCAAAAATTACTATCAGAAAAATTAATTTCCTGCAATTAATATTTTTTTCTTTTATATATATTGAAGTTGGGGCCAAATACAGACATGACTTTTTCCTAAACATTAAGATGACCTTTCTGGGCTCTATAACAGCAAACCTGGCATTTTCACTGTTTTCTCATAAAAAATATTTACAAAGAGAAAGCCACAAGATTTTCAGTGTTCTGGTGAAGTTGTTTGCATCAAGCCTGGTGTAAAGGCAGGTAATAGAAGCAATTAGCAGGAATTGATAGAAGAAACAAAATTGTTAGTTAATCCAACTTTCCTGCCACTTTATTGACAAAGGGATGAGTTTTACAGAGACTAAATATAAGAAGTACACCAATAATGGGGCAATGAAGTCTAGAAAAAGGATTGACATTTGAGAGAAAAAACACAAAAGAATTTTTTCCTGATATCCAGTCGAAACTTACTGGTTTTCAAGTTGAAGCTATTGCCCTTTGTCCTGTCACCATATGTTCTTAAAAAAAATAAAATCTCTCCATGTTTCCTGTAGGCTCCCTTCAGGTACTAGAAGGTTGCAATTAGGTTTCCCTGAAGGTGCATCCTTTCTTGGCTGAACAAACTCAGTTGTCTCAGTTTCCTCATAGGAGAGGTGCTCCAGCATTCTGATCATCTTGATGGCCTCCTCTGGAGTGACTCCAACAGTTCCATGTCCATCCTGTGCTGTGCCCCCAGAGCTGATGCAGCCCTGCAGGTGGGCTCTCAGCAGAGCAGAGCAGAGGGGCAGAATCCCCTCCGTGCCCTGCTGCCCACCCTGGATGCAGCCCAGGACACGTGTGGCTCTCTGGGCTGGCAGTGCCCATGGCTGGGGCAGGTCCAGCCTCTCATCTCCCAACACACCCAAATCATTTTCAGCAGGGCTACTCTGATCTGCTCATCCCCAGCCTGTGCTTGTACCAGGGGTTGCCCCAGTCCAGATGCAGCACCTTGCACTTGGTCTTCTGTCATAGTTTGATCCCAAATAGCAGCCAAACCCCAATAGCCTCTCACTCACTCTCATTAGCAGGGCTGGGGATGGAATCAGAAGGATAAAAGCTGAAGAGCTCAGGGGTTGAGATAAGAACAGTTTAAAAGGGAGAGCAGAAGCCAAATACAAGAGAAAGTAGAACATGGGATTAGTTCAGTGCTTCCCGTGTACAGGCAGGTGTTCAGCCAGCTCCAGGAGGGCTCCATCACATGTAACAGTGACTTGGGAAGAAAAACACCATTGCTTCAAAAGTACACCCCCCCCCCCCCTTTCTTCTTCCTCTCACTTTATACACTGAGCACGATGTCACAGAGTCTGGATTATCCCTTTGGTCGGTTTGGGTCCCCTGTCCTGGCTGCATCTCCTCCTGACCTCCTGAGCACCCCCAGTCTCCTCCCCAGTGTGGCTGTACCAAAAGCAGAAAAGGCCTTGGCTCTGTGCAAGCCCTGCTCAGCAGTAACAAAAACATCTCTGTATTATCAACTCTGTGCTCAGCACAAATCCAAAACACAGGCCCAAAGCAGCTGCTGTGGAGGTTTACTCTACACCAGCCAAACCAGTATTCTTTGCTAAACCTTGTGAGATTCCTAAGGATCCACTTCTCAAGCTTTTCCAGAGCCTTTTGAATGACATCCCATGTTTCAGGTGTGGCAACAGCAACACTCAGCTTGGTGTCACCTGCAAATTTGCTGAGGATGCATTCAATCCGTTTGTCTATGTCATAATGAAAATATTAAATAGCACTGGTCCCCATATGGACCTCTGAGGCACACCACTTGTCACATTGACCACAACCCTTTGGATGCCACCATCCAACCAATTTCTCATCCACCTAACAATCCACTCAACAAATTCATCTCCTTCCATTCTAGAAAGAGGATATTGTGGGAGCCTGTGTCAAAGGCTTTACAGAAGTCCGGATATATGACATCTTTTGCCCTTCCCTTGCCCACCGATGCAGTCACCCATCACAGAAGGTCACTGGCTTGGTCTGGCAGGATCTGTCCTTGGTGCAGCTGTGCTGGCTGTCCCAAATCACCTCTCTGTCCTATGTGTGCCTTAACATAGATTCTGGGAGGGTCTATTCCATGATCATCCCAGACACAGATGTGAGGCTGACAAGCTGGTACTTCCCAGAGTCTTCATTTTTACCTTTTTTGAAGATGGGCACAATGTTTTCGTCTTTCCTATTACCTAGGATTTTACCTGACTTCCAAGGCATTTTCAAATGTCATGGAGAACAGCTTGGTAAATACATCAGCCATTCCCTTAGGACTCTGGTTTGCATCTCATTGGGCCCAACAGACCTCTGTACACTCATGTTCCTTAAGTGGACATGAATCTGATCTTTACTTGCAATGGGAAGGACTTTGTTCCCTCAGTTCCTGTCCTACTGTCCATCCTCTCAGGAGATGTGGGAAGAAATGTTGCCCTTGGAGACTGGACCAAAAATGATGTTGAGTGCCTCAGCCTTCTCCTTATTCATTGTTACCAGTTTCCACCCTTATTATCAGAGGGGATCACCTTCTTAGCCCTTCCTTTTGTGGTTAGCGTGCCTGTAGAAGCCCTCCCTGTTATTCTTTGTGTCCTTTGCCTAGATCAATTCCAGGTCTCTTCAAGCTCTTCCTGGGCTACCCATCCTAGCTCTAACTGCTTGTCCATTTGCTTCTTTCCTTTCAGTCTGACCAGCAGTTCCTTACTCAGCCCTGCTGTTCCCTTGCCTTCCTTGCCAGTTTCGTGCTCCTGGGGTCTGCCAGCTCTTGCATGTGGTGAAAGACTTCCTTAAAGATCTGCCAGCTCTGTTCCACTCCCTTGTTGTCCCTGAGGGAAGTCTCCCAGTGGATCTCACTGGCTATCTCCTTGAAGAGCTGGAAGTCTGCTTTCCTAAAGTTCAGGGGCCTAACTTTGTTCCTCGCCTGGCCCATAGCCCTCAGGACTGCAAACTCCAGCAATGTGTGGTCACTGCAGCCCAGACTCCTTCCAACGCTGATGTTCAACATCAGCTCACTTCCATTGGTGCCCTTCAGATCCAGGATTGTATCCCCTCTGGAAGGGCTGCTGTCTATTCCTCTGCTCCAGAAAGTATCCCTCATGCTTTCCAAGAGTCTCCTGGCTTGCCTGCAGCTTGCTGTGCTGCTTTCCCAGCAGATTTTGGGATGGTTGAAGGGCCCCAGCAGGACAAGAGCCTGTGAGCATGATGCCTCCTGTAGCTGGAGCAAGAAGGCTTGATCAGTAGGGTCCCTTGGATCAGGGGTCTGCACTTCAAACCATCCACAGGGTTCCCTTTGTTGCTTTGGTCCCTGATCCTTAGCCACAGGCATTTGCCCTGCTCGTGGCTGCTCTTCAGAGACAGCTCTTCACCCTCAGTCTTCCTCCTGATGTAGAGGGCCACCCCTCTGCCTCTCTCTTTCCTCACCTCTCTCTTCTGGAGAGCCTGTAGCCATCAGTAGTTAGAGTGCAGCCATAGGATTTGTCCCACCAAGTTTCAGTCTGGCACTTGTCACATGAAAAGGGAGATTTTCTCAAACCCTCAATGGTTGATTAGTCTGTCCATGCCCCAGGAAAACTGAGACCCTTGTGCCTGACCAGTGTCTCATTATGGGGACCCTTCACTGAGCCATTCACCAAGTTGGAGGGCGGTTCAACTGACTTGTTTAGGGTCACACACCAAACAGAGACACCCTGTCCTGGGTCTTCTTGCCTTTACCCACTGCAAGTGACTGACAGAGCCCTTGAAGGACTCATATTACCCAATTACAGAATAACTCTATTTATTTATATAATTATGACAGGTTCAAGGGTTGCTGATGATAGCATCTGACTGCAAAAACATATTCAAAGCAATGTAGTAATTCAAAGCAGTATACTAACAAACTTTAATCCCTAATAAAAGCTAACTTGAGATGATGATTCAGCATTCATTAGGGTACAGCCCTTATCCAATTGGCATCCCTAAGCGGGAGACGACAGGTTTGGCCTATCGACTGAGTTTACAATGGAATCTTCCCTAACTTCTCATTCTTGACTTACTTTTATACTACTTCTTCAATTTTACATGAAGAGTGACTTTAATCATATGTCTTACTCAGTGCAGGTGGTCTTACCTTGGGTTGGATATCTCAGTATAGTACCTGGAGCAATTTTGGGATGGGACATGTGCCAGTCCTAGGAGAGTGATTTCACCACAGTTGCTGGTTCAATAGCAGGCCATCTCACTTTACCTCACCCACCACCATGCCTGAGTGTCTTTGGGGGCTTCCCAGTCCTAATGGGGCCCTGGGATGCTGTTGGGTGTCTGTGAGCTTGGCAATCCCCTTATAGAGCCCAATTTGTCCCTCACACCTGGACTGACTTTGCGATGCTTAGTGGTGCTGCTCACCAACTAACTAGAGAAACAGAACAGATGAGACCCAAAAGAAGAAGTATAGAGAAGAAATACACACAAGAAAAGGGAAAAAGGATAGCTAAAAGGTACAAAATATGGGGGGGGCAAAGAGAAGTACATTTTTGTTACTAATAAAATTAGGGCAGGATAATGAGAAATAAAATAATTGCCTTAAAAAAGCCTTCCCCCCCAACCTTTGCTCCTTCCCAGCTCTGCCTTCTCCCGCAGTGGCACAGGGAGACAGGAATGGGGCCATGGTCAGTCCATGACCCGTGGCTTCTCCCACTGCTCAGGGAGAGGAGTCCTTGCCCTGCTGCACTGTGGGCTCCCCTGCCATGCAGACAGATCTCCATGGACTTCTCCAGAGTGAGCCCATCCCACAGGCCACAGTCCTCCCCACACTGCTGTGGGGTGGTCACTCTCCCACGGGTGCATCCCACGGGCAGGCTGCTCCAGCCTGGGAGCAGGGCCCCTCTCTCCATAGGTTTCCCATAGGATTGCAGCCTCCTGCCAGGTATCCATCCACTGCAGCATGGGCTCCTCCACAGGCTGCAGGTGGATCCCCATGGATCTCCATGGGTTGCAGGGGCAGAGCTCTCTCACAAGGGTCTGCACCACAGCCTGCAGAAGAATCTGCTCTGGCACTTGGAGCACCTCCTCCCTCTCCTCCTTCACCGATCTCAGTCTGCAGAGCTGTTCTCACATGTTTCACTGTACTCTTCTCTGGCTAATATTAAAACTGTGCAACACTTTTTTGTCTCCATTTCTTCTTAAATCTCTCATCACAGAGGCATTACCACCTACTTGGCCCAGCCTTGGCTAGGTGCAAGTCAGTCTTTGAAGCCACCAGGGATTGTCTCAGCTGGGCATGGAAGAAGCTGCCAGCAGCTTCTCATAGAAGCAAGCCCTGCAATCCACACATACGCATACAGACACACACATCCCCCCTGCTACCAAAACCAGGCCATGCAAACCCAACACAGTTGCTGAAACTGGAGTTTACAAAGTGGAACCGCACAAACCTCAGTTCTTGCATTAGATGAAAAGAAGAACTCTTAAGATTTACTGATGGTCCGATGGATCTCCAAGTCAGCTGTGAATTAGCCAAAAAGTGATGGTGTTCATAACAAGCAAAAAGTAGTGTAAAATTTTTTGAGTAAAACTTGTGTTCAGCCTGCCTTGGAGAACAGAGCTGACTAAGTGATTTCTGGACGTCTCTTCCCACCTCAGCTACTCTATGATAATTGCCAGAGGACCTATTCTGTAAGAGGAATTTATACCAGGGAAAAATGCTTTTGGGAGGAGCCTCAAGGACATGGAAATGGGATATAAATATTTTGGGTGAGAATGGAACATTTTTTCTTATGAAATTTTCCTTTCAGAAGGACACTGAGATAAATCCTCAAATATCAGCCTTGAGTGATCTCTTTGTTGGTAGATTATATTACTGTAAGAGTTCTACAATGCCTCCTTCATTCTGTGTCCAGTGTTTTCAGTATTATCTACTTTTTTGGAGGTAACTGAAAAATTCATTCTGACAACAGTCAGAATCTGTGCAAACCAGTGATGACAGCATCACTGTCTGTACTACAACCATAAATTCAGTTCCTTAACTCTCATTGTATTCATACATATTCACCTTTCCAAGATATAAAATGGAGTATGTATCATGCTCCAAACGTACTTATTTGGTGAAAATCCATGCCTACTCCTCATGCTAGAATTGTAAAAAAGCAGGATGGTTGAAGGTGTGGTACTGTAAACAGTGACATTGCCCGCATTGGTATAGCTTGCAATAACACTCACAATCTGTTCCGAATCGGTTTCATAAAAGTAGACACAAAGCTCTTTGTGTACATTTTAAATAAACTACAGACAGAAAAATTACTTAGCAAATACCAGGCAAATCCATAATTCTAACTTATGATTCTCAGATTCCTACATACATTCCTCTCCTTTTTCTAGTGCAGAATTGAAGCTCCATGGCATGTCTGACATCCATGTGCATTCTCACAGCTAAACAGTGAGATTCTAACAGTTTTCCATATCTATCAGAGAATAAATACTTTAGAGGATGAATTCCAAAGCAAAGCAAAGCAAAGTGTCATGTGAATGTGTCAATCAGGACTGATTTTGACATTTTAGTTGACTTTCCATTTTAGTTGACTTTTTTTAGTTGACTTTAGTTGACTTTTTGAAATAAAGTAATTTTGTACGTTTATTGTTCTAATGAAGCATAACAAGTCACTGCCAAGGAGCTAGAAAGAACTTCAACCCCAAATATTTTTTGGAACTTAGTTATAATAGACGAGATGATTTGCAATGTTTAGGTATATGTGTGCTATATAAAACTGAATACATTTAGAAGGTTTTAACTGCACACAGATAAAATGTTTGCCAGCATTGTGTTACAAAGTTTCATATATGATACTAATTGTAAAAAAAGAAGTTTAAAATTAGAAATTTATCTGCCTTTACTGTAATGCAGAAATTATTATTGATAGAAATTCAGACCCCAAAGAAGTGGTGAGTTTAACAGCAGATTCATGCATGCTAGAAGGCAACTGAAATTTGCTATCAAATCAGTAGTTGTCAGTCTTCTAACTGTACTGTACTTAGGCAAACTCTACTGAAGTAAACCTGATCTTCCCTTTCTAAATGCAGTTTTTTCTTTTCTTCAGAGAAACCGAGAAAAATTATCTATCACAGACCTTTTTCATAAGTCTTCATTAAGCTATTTGCTATACTTAAGAAAATTTGTTCAATTTAAGTTAGTATGACTGTGAAATATACACAAGAGATGCAGAAAATTTACATTTATTTTTATTTAAAAGTTTAGATACATTTTTGGGGGACTCATTACATACATTTGGAGTACCAAGTCACAAATTAACATGCCAGTGAGCAGCAAGGGTTGCATTTTGGCAAGGGAAAGTGATTTAGCCTTAAATAAAAGCAGTGAACCACTCAGTGAGGGGAAGAGTTCACACAATAAGCATAAAGAGAAAGAGGGTTACAGGCTACTCATGGCAATTAGAACCTGCCGATGTGCTCAAAGCCATGATACAATTTTTCTTAAAGAAGCATTAAAAAATATGTTTTGCTATAAAACAACTAGCAGATTAATGTGTTTTGTCTTATTACACATATTTGGCGGTGGTTTTGCTTTAATTTTTGTATTTAAGCTACATATAATTGTCTTAAGTCTGTTACAGTAATTTCTGATATGTGGCAAAGATCAGGAAAATGAGCTCAACTTTACACAGCTTTCATATTGATTACTCAAAATATATTTAAGCTCTGTGGCCTTGAATTGGCAGTTTAGAAACACAGTTACACTGTATTCTTACTATAAACTTTCTGCAAACCCAAGTGACAGTATATTTATCTTTGCACTGAAGTGTGCATCTCTCGGGCTTCAGTCCTGTAGTCTTTATGGCAGGGCATGGTATTTTTATGGGCAAACAGTTGCTATAATTGTTTTCTGTTTTGTCTTTTCATTCCTGTTCAATTTTTTAATTTATGATGATGAACTCTTTTTATTGAAAAAAATTATATATATATCTTTGTCAGAATTTTTCAGCTTCCATTTGGCAATACCCTAAATGAAGTAGTATGGCTTGAAGTTGACTTTCAAATTGAATTTCATAGGGCCAGGAATTTACCATGCTGGATTGCTGAAGTTTATGAACTACCTGTGCAAATACATGACAACCACGAAAATGGAAAGAATCAGCTGAGCAATAGATTCTGGTTATGAAATTAGAGACACAACAGACACTCCGTTTCTAGTAATTTAACCCAGAAGAACTTTTACTCTTTATGCTTCTCTTAAAATTTAAAATGTACTACAATCCACAAAAAGTATAATGTTCCACAGGAGAGAGCATGCCAGACAAAAACATGCACTATAAACCCCTGTCTTTCTTGCCCAAAGTCCTAGTCTCTCTATCCTTTGTTGTACTTTCCTATAATGTCTGACCTTAAACAAACATCTAAACAAACTCTGTTGGAATAACATTTCAGTAACTTCCAATTTCTGACTTCAGAACCTTAATCATTCAATAAACACAAGTGAAGGTGTTTACTCTTTTAACAGCTCTAATAATTATGTATTTATTAACAATAAGGATAAGGTAGATTGCTGACAAGTGATTCTCCCACTCCTACTCAAACTAGCTAATCTGTGGGCAGTTTTGTGGCATCATCACCAACAAACAGGAGAGCTGCTGTTTATCTATTGCTGATAGGAGATCAGCACTTCTACTAGTATAATTATATATACCGGTACACTTGCATTTGCATCACATATACTAGTATAATTGTACTGTTATACCCATTCATACACCTTATCAGAGTGGGTTGTGCTTTTGGAAAACAAAGGTTATCAGCTGTACACTGAATTGTTAATTTATAATTGGTCAATATTTTTTTACATAAATCTACTGTATGAGTTACTTAACTGTCATTGAGAGCAGAAGGCATTCTGATTAAGGTATTTTTGGGGGGATTAAGACAGAGAGATTGCAATATCAGTTATAACCTGAGATATAATAGTGACACTTCAAATGCTTTTTAGCCAGTCCCCTCCTCCTTGGGGGATACAGCACCATCCTTTTCTGTGGTTGGGAAGAGTGACCTTATTGCTGGCATTTAGACTGTTTTTGTCCTGCACAAAGAAAATAATAATATTAACAAGGTGACTTCTATTAAAAATACGGTGGTAATGAACTCCGTTGTCCGTAATGGAAGATCTCCTCACAATCCTCTGCATTCTACTGCTGAACTGTAAATTTCAGCAACATGTAAAACAGGAAATACCACTACTGCTTAAGGTAGTGGTACTGCCACTATCAGTTTCCTTGGGTTTGAATGCTGTGCTTCCACATGCATTAGAACACAAATATTTTAAATTCTGCTCTTACTTCGGTCTTAAATAGGGCAAATCACAAATCACACTTTTACCAAGGTGATGCACACTAGTAATGCCTGACAAAATTGAAAAATAAGGACAATAATTTTCTTGGCCAGATCAACCGGTGTGGGGTAACACAGCTAAGAAGTTGGCATTTGTAAAACAGTGGCTCTGAGGGTTTTCATTTGAAACCTACTAGTGTTGGCAGAGGCAGACTCAGAAAGGCTTTGGGGCTACTGTGAATTACTGTTTCTCAGATCTCCTAGTAACAGTTCTGCTTCTTGATCCCTTGCCACTTCAGCTACACAATAAAGACTGTAGTTGAATTCACTTCTGTTTGAATGGTTTTTAATATAAGAGAATGACCAAAACATGAAAATATGGCACTAAAGCCTTGTCAATGCAGGTCAGATGCAATTGTAAAACCTGAAAGAATTTTACCTTATGCTTTGAAAACTGAAAGTCAGTAGTTAACTGGAATGTGATTTCATAGGATGAAAATTTAATCTCAAAAATAAAGCGTCTCTTTCTCAGGGTACACTTTGAAAATGTTTTGTATTGGCCAGTAACTGATTAGTTCAGCAAACATGAGTCAAGTATAGCTTGGTGCTGTCTCATAACCAGAAGTCTAAGAAAAGATCAGCTGTTTAGCTTCATTTTTAGCAGGAGAATGGGAAGATTATAAGAACACTGAAACCTGAGATGGAAAGACCCTTTTTAGTGTAGATGCTGGAAGAGGGAACTGCTTGACATTCTCATCTAGCAATTTATATAGTTTTCTCATCTACATTCTCATCTAGTCTAGTTTATATAGTGTAGCTGCTCATACAGTAGCTGTGAATCATACAACATTTTGGTGTATACCTATTAGTAAAAATATATTAATGATATATTGTCTATGTCAGAACAGTCATTTTAGCTTGTTCATCAGTTTCAGTATTTTATGTTCTCAAATTACCATTTTAAAAACTGTTATTACATTTTAAAAGCAGACTTCATCACCTCCCCCAGACCTTTGCAAAGAGATGCAGGAAGAATACGTTTTGGAGTACTTACTTCCTCTCAGTTCTTTTGGGAATCAATACAGAAGGTCTGTTTGTTGATCTTTCCTCCCTCAACATACAAAATAGCCCAGCATTGGCAAGGAACTGTATTCCTGTAGCCAAAGCTACTCTCCCAAGCCTGCCTCCCGCCCCTACACACCACCACCCCCCACCCCAGAAAAAGAAAAAAAGAAACAGAAAACTAGAAAATAATGAGGTTAAGGAATAAAATCACCATGAAAAAGGAGAAACCATTCTACACCTGTTTTGAATTATCAGGAAATGCGTTATGCAGAACATACTATAACAGGTCTGAAAGCCTTTTTTCAAACAGCAGCATGAATTGTGCTGGTCATGTAAAGAATAGGAGACAAACTGCATTTAAGAACAGCACCCGTCCACTTACCAGCCAACCATCTCCAAATTACAAGTCAGTAAAAGCTGAAAAAGGAGGTTTTCTCCTGAAATACATTATTTTCAACCGCTTTATTCTCAATGAAAATGAATTATTAGTACTAGAATAACTCTACAGAGAATTCTCTAATCCACTCTTTCTTTCTCTCTGAAATATAAAATAACTATATTTTGAATGAAAAAAGCAGAAAACACATTTTCATAAAATAGGGGAGTTCTTACAAAATAGTCCAACAATCAACTGCTACAGTAAAAAAACATGATTGCAACAGTTTCAGAGAAAGACAAATTTTTGCAGGGCTTTTATTGGTCCAATGGGCAAATTTGCATAGATCTATACGGCAAAATTCACAAGAGGAAATTGTTGACAAAATTAAGTAAGGCTTTGCAATGCTATGTTAATCAGAGGCATCCTTTGTATACTGCAGCATTGAGAAATTATATCCTGAGCTACCAGAACTTCTGCAAATGAAGTTCCCAAATATGTATTTGCATTTGTTTCAGGCTTGTAAGAAACTTATGGGCTTTAAGACACAGTAGTAAAAGAAAGAAACAAAATTAAAAGAGTGATTAAAACATCCTGAAAGACCTCAAATTTTGTACCAAATAGACAGTGAAGAAACAAGTAGTATAATCTATATTTCATATTGTATTTGTAACACAAGAATATGACTTTTTTTGAATATGATTGCAATCTATTTTTTGCTCATTGTGGAACTACATTGATTATTTGATATTCTAACATAGCTAAACTCAGCAGGTTTTGCATACATATCTGACTACTTATTTAGATAATCCAAAATTTGATTTGCTTATCTTTTATGAAAATGTGAATAAAAACTCTCGATGTTCTTGGAGTTGCCTGAGGTCAAAAGTTGATAACTGCCTACGTAATAAACTACATTTACAGTTAATGAAGCAAAAGATTCTGCGCTAAATGACAGACTTGAGTGGTGATCAGAAGAGAAGCAAGCCTCAGAAATTATACTATTATACAATACAGGGAGCAACAAAAATTTGAAAACCATCTCTGGTATTGTGCATTCTTCTTACTTTTTCAATTGATAGTGGCTCAGCTGCTTCTTTTTTTTTTTGTGATTATATCTCACCTTGCAACTATTTAAGACATTCTTTGTCAAGGAACAAAGTCAAGCATTTTTACTGAAGATCGATCCCTGATCAATTTCAGATGAGTAAATTTTTTAGGAAAAAAAGGTACTATGTGCTAGATTATTTGCAATAAAGACAAAAATTAATCTTCCTTTCAATTAGTATTTTCTGCAAGCTTAGAAAGGAGTGGTGATTTCTACTTACTCCTTGAGCTATAATGCAAATTTTTCTGGATTGCAGACCTTCAGCTGCTGTAAACATTAGAAGTCATCATTTCCATTACTTTTTAGTTTCTTCTGGTAAGTGAGCATATCATAGAAAAATCATCCATAAATGAGCTGTAACGATCTTTCAAAAGAATCTGAAGAAATCTTTAATAAGAATTTGGAAACATTTAAAATTCAGTTAACTCACTTCTGGTAAGTGAGCATATCATAGAAAAATCATCCATAAATGAGCTGTAACGATCTTTCAAAAGAATCTGAAGAAATCTTTAATAAGAATTTGGAAACATTTAAAATTCAGTTAACTCACTTCTGGTAAGTGAGCATATCATAGAAAAATCATCCATAAATGAGCTGTAACGATCTTTCAAAAGAATCTGAAGAAATCTTTAATAAGAATTTGGAAACATTTAAAATTCAGTTAACTCACTTCTGGTAAGTGAGCATATCATAGAAAAATCATCCATAAATGAGCTGTAACGATCCTTCAAAAGAATCTGAAGAAATCTTTAATAAGAATTTGGAAACATTTAAAATTCAGTTAAAATATCATCAAAACCATAAGGATTAAACTGTGTTTCAAATAGATAGTAAAGGATTAATTAAATCTCTTCCAACCTTATTCATTAGTTTATGGCAGATTTCCCTTTCTATTACATAAACTGAAAAATACCCCAGAGCTTGGTGTTCAAAGCTTAATTAGAGTATTTAGAATGAGTGTTTAGAAAGTGCAGCTCCATACCTGATCTTCAGAGATTTTTACATTTCAAGGAAAATTAGATATCCACAAGAAAGACAAAATGTAAGACAGAAACGCCCCTGTGATTAGCCAATTTTAATTTCTCATGACTGTGTGTCTCACTAGAGCCCACTGGATGGCTCCCTTACCACTGTCAGGGTGTGTATTTCTTTGAGCACTGCGTATTCCCATATTGCAACTGCATTTGATGACTTCCACTGCCTCAGAAAGCTGCTCACAGTAAATGAAAAAGCATCTCCACTTACAGTCTGTGGGTTTGCAACTGCAAGGTGTCCCCCAAAACATTGAAGAGCAAGTTCCTGTAGAAAAGAGTGGCTTCTAATATGTGAGTGTAAAAGATGGCTGAAATATTATAAAAAATGGCTTAAAAAAAAAAAACAAATCTACCCAAGCCAAGGAAAACCCCAAACCCAGATAATATACTAGTAAAAAAATTAAAATAAATAAATAAACAAATAAAAAATTAAAACAAAACCAAAATTGGATTGGATTATTTCATCCTCTAATAATGCACCACAGAAAGAGCTAGACATAATTATCCTAACACTGAGTAATCCATCCTTCTCAGAAACCTTGTAAAGGCAACAGGACAAGAAAACCTAAGGAACAGAGGAGTGTTGAAAATGCTCAGCTTAGGGGAGTCAAGGATAGCAAAAAGGAGAGGTGTCGTCAGAGTACACTCTGGTTCCTGCAGCAATATGAGTTTACAGTGGAGGATTTACATTACTTTTATCAGCAAGTTGATCCTACAACAAACGGTGCCTTCTTTAATTAGATCTAGATATATGCAAGATGTGATATATCAGAGAGCTGATTACACTGATTTTTTTTGATGTAATAGTTTTAAAGCAGATGGTAACATTTGCAACTGTATGATCTCCACAAGTTAACTCATGGCAGGGCCTTCAGTTATTAAAGATAACTCATAACTCAGGTCTGCATCTTGTGTTGAAAATCTAAAGCCCTATTTATTTTTGTTTTGCCATTTAGTTAGTAAACTACTACCATTTAGTTAGCAATATTCCTAGAGAGATTTTATTGCAAAGCCTTTTATGTGAAAAAAACAACAATGTGAATTAAAAGATTCCCGAATATGTCTGATAAAATTCTACAAATGTTCTCAATTTCTAGTCTATATCCTATAGAGCAGTATGAAATTACTTAATTCTTCCTTTTTTATTCTCTGCTCCTCCCCTTAAATGCAGGTAACTAAAAACCATTTTAAAATAAAAGCATCATGAAAACAATGGAAATAATGGACCAATTCTGTCACCAGACACAGATTCATTCTCTTGAGAAAGAAAACCTCTTAGTCCCTTACTCATATGAAATTCCACTGATATCCAGGAATGTTTTTACTCAATATTGTAAGGTCATATAGCATTCAGCCTTTATTTTTCAGTCTTAACTTTTTTCTTATATTATCATTTCTATCTGATTCATAGAATATATCATTTTGTGTATGTTGAACGTGACAGATATGTAATTGTGTGGAGACATAAACTCCTCTTTTTTCCCCAGAAATTAAGGTTAACTGTCATGGTGTATAAAGGCTGATAGTTTTATACCACACTGGATACATAGATGCTCAGAATGCCACCACAGCAAACCAAAATCACAATCACTTATACCAAGTCAATTAAGCAGCTGGAAGAACTGACTTACATTACCTTTAGGAGGCGATACCTACCTGTATGTATAGAATATGTAAAACACTATGATAGTTAAAGAAAATTCCAACCCATCTATTACAAACTGACTAAATGGTTATCTAGAACTAGTTATTTTGAGCTGCTGGTATTAGTTGCAAAACAGAATTTAAGACTTCTCTTAGTGTTTCTGCCCTTCTAAATCAAGACAGATACAAATTGTCCATACTGAATTTAAATAGTCCCCTACTCATCATGTTGTCAGTTTTGGATGTACTTCTTGGGTATCTCATTTTAGCACATGATGTGCAATTAGCTTAAATGTTTCACTCATAGGTCTACACATGACACCAGAAGTGCTAGGTGTTGAATTTCTATAAGATTACTTCCACTTAGCCTACCCATCATTGTAAAAGTCTAGATGTTTAACCAGAAAATTTTGTGCTGTTCAGTGATTTCGGCACAACTGTTGGCAGAAGAAAGCCCTCCTTCTCACAGGCCCCTAGGATAACCTGGGACTAGAATTTTCTGCATTTTCTATGTAATAAGGAGCAAATATGAACCATTTAGAAATGTCTTGCTCATTGCTACTTTGTGCTGCACACAGTTCATGAACCTCTTCTCTGATAGATATTGAGGAATAGAAATATTTCTAAAAAGAAAAATCCTCTTGACACCAAACAGTACTTGATGAAATTATAATATAGCTTTTTTGGGGTAAAATTGTTATCTCCTTTACAAATTTATAAAATGTAAATGTTTAGATAAGCAGTGTTTGTAATTACAGCTAAGAAAGACCCAGCCCTGAGCTTGGCAAGACATATAAAGTATAATAAGTACTTCCGAAG